GTCACAGACTCCACAATCCACCCCGTCATCATCTGTGACCATGATGCCCCAATATCAATCAGCTGGAATATATTTATCCAGTCTGAGATCAATAGAGTCTATCTTATGTTATAAAGAATGCTTCCCAACCCTGCACCAGATGGCGCTTCAACACCTCTCCTGAAAGATCCAGAATTCAAAACCATTATTCAAAGAGAGTGGACACCCTTTCTAGAAACAAATGATTCCACAAAGTCAACTAAATCTCCATCATTATTAGGGTAAACTGGTAAAGCATTACTCTGAGGTAATATAATCTCTGTTTCTACCCACACAAAAAGAAAGAGCTGCAAACCCAAACTGAATTAGAACAAGAAAGAAAACAACTTGAGATAATAAATGCCGGACAATCAACAGAAGAAACTAACAATTATTTAAGGAAATTAAGATGTCAATTAGATAACAAAACACATTTCATGACACATAGACTCCACCATTGTAATAAATCAGGGAAGTATTTTGCAAACCAAATCCAAACTAGTGTTGTAGCCAAAAAAACTCAGCAGGGAAGCCAGCACATAAAGAAATGAATCATATTTTATAGACTTTGACGCAACATTATACAAATTATATTACAAACAGATTACCCGGCCATTGATGAATTCTTAACTAATATCGATCCCCCAAAACTCACATCAACCAATGCACTACTCCTGACTCACCTCAATCGGACAAATAACCACATAGCGCACTCAAACTAATGCCCAATAATAGATTACTGGGATCCGACGGCTTCACTACTGAGTTTAATAAACATGTCTGGACTACTATCTAACCACGCTACCATAGACACGTAAACAAAGTGAAAGAGACCTCAAAACTACCCACCCATTGGAACTTTTTCTCTCCCTGGCCTCTCTCTCTCTCTCTCTCTGGCATCTCTCTCTTTCTGGTCTCTCAGGCTGTTTTTCAGACGTATTTGGAACGACTGAGATATGCATAATTTCTACACCAGCAGCCGTCCTCTTGTCTGTCTCTCTGGGGTCTGTCTGATCCTCTCTGGACCAGGTGGACCAAACTGAAGCTTGGTCCACCTGTGAGGTTCAGACCCAGACTGAGAACTGAGGACCAGCCGGACTCGGGAGACCTGCACGAGGAAAAGGAGAGTGTAGGGAGGTCTATGCAAGTCAAAGAGGCAGAGTGTAAGGCAGAGTTGGAGCTAGCAAGAGAAAAGCTTGCGAAGAAGGGGAAAGAGCATCAGGAGGCTTGTAAGAAATGGATGCAGGTCCAAAGTCTGAATCACAGACAACATCAAGCCAACGTCAACTCACGTAAACATGAGTCAGAACGTCAAGAGGCTGGTGAGAAGTGTTAACTTGAGCAGGAAAAGCAGAAGCAGAGGTCCGAGCTGAAGAGGAGCCGAGTGAAGGCAGCACAGGTCAGGGAACAGCTCTCTTACTCTCTGATGTAAAGCAACATCATCAGAGAGAGGCGGATGGGAAGCTATAGATTGCAAACAGCAGCTTGGACTGGATCAGGGCATCAGGCTGTTTGTAGCTGTAGCTTCTGAGATGAAGAGTCTGACTCCTTCTTCCCTGCCGCTTCCATATGTTGTGTTTGGAACGACTGAGAAATGTATGACTTTAACACCAGCTTGGACTTATTCACCAGCAGTTTCTCTGGTCTCTCTCTGGACCTTCTCACTCTCTCTGATCTTTCTCTCAGCCTCTTTTAAAAATCTGCATGACTTGATAAATAGATTAGGGTCGGATTAAAACACAACATATTTTCTTTCTGGTAAATTCTGGGAGTCTTGTTATCAAGTTTGAATTGATCACAATTTTGTTAATATAAAAATATATCAGTTCTTTATAAAAATGTTTTTTGAACCGACACAAACACACACAAACACACACACACACACACACGCACACACACACTAACCCTCATACTTGTCTACTCTCCAGTCTGACCCATAATCATACACAGACACACACACAGTGAAACACACACAGACACTTTTTGGCACTCTAGAATCACAACATTTACTCTCCGCGCTGCCTTCAGGCTGCACCACCGAGCAGTGCAGACGTTCCAGGGCTTCCTCGCCTCATTCACATTCAGGGAACAGAGCTGACACCCAGGTCTCATCGCTCTGCTTCAGGGGAGGTTCACGGCTGAGGAGGAGGGGCAGGAGGACGGGGAGGAGCAGGTGGCTGTGGAGAAGGAGGCTGAGGAGGACTGAGGCTGGGGAGCAAAGGGAAGAGGAGGTGGAGGGCAATGGTTGGATTCTCGAAGCAGTTAGCGTCGTTGGTGTTGGCCTCCACAGACGTTAGCCGCATGTCTCGCTCCAGATCTTGAGTTTCGTCTCCGCGGTGACGCAGACATCCCAGAGTTCCGGATGACAGATGTTTATGGATTCCTGATCAGTTTTAAGGAAGTAACGAACGAGAAAATGCTCACACCTGTGTTTCAGCTCATTAAAAACCTATTCCACTCAAAGAAATCTCTTATGAAAGAAACTTATGAATACAGTACGTTCAATGTAGAAGAGAGACGACTGTTTTAACTGGTCATGACATCATTTAGCTGCAACGAGTCCCAGCTCCTCAGAGTCCCAGCAGGAAGCCAGTCCCTGTGCTCCTCAAAGTCCCAGCAGGAGGGGATGAGAGGAGTACTGAACTTATCGATTCAGCATGTGTTTAAATGTAGATGCTTCATGGATCAATTACTCTTAGGTCCGTTGTCTTATACTGTGTTTAGTAATTAGAAGCCGGCGACATGGAGTACGGCTGTTTGGTCGACAATGATTCACAGAAAAATCTTCTACCGGCGACGATACAGACTTTTGACCACGTTATCATAATGCCTTTTGCATTCTCAAACATCACCTGTAGAAGAGGCTTATATGAACGAGACAATTTCCGTATCTGGGCAATTGTTCTGACGGCGTTACCTTCTCGCAGTAACAGATGCAGACATGTTGCTGAGATGGTTGCTAGGGCAAGATGGAGATTCCCCTGAATGAAAGCCTGATTGGCCACAGAGAGCTGATGGGTGTGACACAAACAGAAACTTATCTAGAGAAGTTTACTTTTCCATGTGAGTCAAGAGGAGCCAGAGCGAGTTGGAGCCAAACTTCATCCGTGAGCACTTCCCTGTTGGGCTTCATTGAGCAACCGGGTTAGCATTGTCCATTTGTGTGCTGTCTATGAGATGAGTCAGGAGTGTCAAAGATTTGCACTTTAAAACAGACAGAAGCAGACCCTTGTCGTCTTGACCCTTTCTGTGTGGAGTTTAGCATGTTTCTCTCCATGTCTGGGTGGGTTTCCTCCAGGCGCTCCAGTTTTCCCCACCACACCAAACAGGCACTGGTGTATCTGGAGTCTCTAGCCACTGTTGTTGCATTGAAAGAGAAAGACGGGTCGAATGCAGAGGACTAATGTTCCTATGAGTGTACTGTACATACCTTTGGCTTTGATACAGAGTTAGCAGGAGGCCACAGAATACAACATTAATTTTATTTAAGAAATTTTTTTGTCAAGGTTCCAGTGCAGCATCTCCACATTCAGCTATGGGCACTGTGAATGTGCAAATAACCTTTGATCTAATGTTTTTTTCATTTTACATAAGAGAAATAACAGTTGTTGACCTGTTAGACCTTAAAAATGCCGAGCAGACTTCATTGTAAAACCTTAAACACTGTACAGCTGGGTGTTTATTAACCTCAGAAATATTAGTCACAGAAAAGGATTCATGAGAAATGGCTGCGTTTTTGTTTACTCCACCGACATAGAAAACTAACAGGAGACGACATTGTGAATTTTATGGTCATTTATCACACAACTCTTTGATTTGGGAGAATAGAGTTGACTTTGTCTCTTAATTGCTGCTTCCAAAAAAGCGTAAAACTGTTCAAATAAACTGCTGTGATTCTACTGAAGGTATTTCCCTGGATCTCCTTCCCATCGACTTAAAGCGTTGTTGGAGTATTACTATGAGTGTGATTTGAACAGTCTGTGGGACCGGGGAGAATTCATTTCAATTCAATTTATTCTTGTATCGCCCTAAATCAGTAGCTTTTTCAGAAGAATTTACATAACCATCAAATTTGCCAACAGAGATTAGAGAATCAAACAGTTCAAACTCAAACAATGCAATGATAGAAAAAAACATAGAGCCATTGGTCCATAAGAAGCAGTCTGGTGTGTGTGTGAATGGTTGGTGGTGGTGGGAGGAGCCGATGGCACAGACTGGTTGCCTCACTTCTGTCAGTGTGCCCCAGGGCAGCTGTGGCCACTGTAGTAGTTTATCACCACCATGTATCAAGTGAATGAATAATGACATATGAAGCGTTATTATTATTATAAGGGATAGAGACCAATTATCATATTTTTTTCTGAATGTCGAGTGTCCTGGATCAATACCACCTTTGACCCTCCTGCAAAGAATAATAAGTTTTTCCTAGAATAACTAAGAAAAACTTCTACTCCGTTTTGTTCACTCACAGGGACAGTACTGCCCCCTAGTGTTCATTATCATAAGTACACACACTCTGCAGCAGTACACTCATATTCTCTGGTTGTTTTTTGCTGCTGACAAAAAACATGTTAAAGCTGGAGTACCTGACTTCTCCATGCAATTCTTGTTTATATAGTGCCTCTCACAGACTAGAGTCACAAAGCACTTTACAATTGTTGTGGGCATCTGTCTCTCACTCCACACAGAGATGGGAGTGAGGTCGCCTACAGGAAGCACATGCCAGACCTATTTTACATGTTTTTAGCGGTAGGGAAAACCAGAGCGCCCAGAGAAACCTATGCAGACATGGGGAGAACATGCAAACTCCAATCAGACAGGTCTGGAGGTGGAATCTGTCAAAGATGAAGAATAAAAATCTCAGACAATACTGACAAAGGAAAGTGTCTTCTTTTATTCTCTTTTCGTTGGTAAGTCATTCATCACATGCATTTGAACGTAAAACATTTCCCAGGCCTGCAGACGGTTTCCTGATTTCTGATTTATCCAAAAATGCCTTTCTTCTTATCTGTGAATTAAACAAAAGGGTTAAATCTGTGTTCACATTATTGTCCTGATGTGCGTGGTTAATGGGCAGGTCCTCATTATAATCCTAACGTGTTAAAGGGGAGGTACCTTTCTCTCTGACGGTGTACAGAGCCTGCATCCCGGCCTTCAGGTGGTCGGCCACATGGCAGTGGAACAGCCAGGTCCCAGGGAACTGAGGACGCATCTTCACTGTCTGCAAGACACACACAAGGGTAACACAAGAGACACACAAGAGTAACACAAGAGACACACAACACAAAAGAGTAACACTAGCTTAGTTCTGACTGTTCCAGAAATATACGAATGTTGGGGAACGCCAATAACACCTGGGGAGGGGTGAAGGGGAAGTACTGCCCCGCTACCTGAACCAGAGCACAGTTCATCAGGTCCAGGTCCCAGAGGAGGAGGGAGACACTGAGTCTGAGCTAGCTGTGTTTTCTGGGTCCGATGGCAACATATGCAGTGATGTAGTTGGTGTATCAGACTGTCGTGGTGAAAAGGGAGCAGCGTCTGCAGTCAGAGTTCTACATTCCCTCCCTTATGTCTGTTCATGAGCTTTGGGTAACGACCAAAAGGAAGAGATTGCAGAAACGGTTCAAGTGGTATACATGAGTTTCCTCCAGGTTGGAGCTCCCTTAGAGATAGAAGAACTCAGTCACGTGGAGCTCAGACTAGAGCTGCTGCTCCTCCACATGGAGAGGAACCAGTGGAGGCCTCCTGTCGCCTCCTTGGGGAGGCGCTCTGGGCATGTCCCACCAGGAATTGACTGGGGGAAGAGCCAGGACACAGAGAGAGAGTGAGATGAGCTGGAGGAAGTGTTTGTGGAGAGAGAAGTCTGTACGTTTTTTTATTTTATTGTGCAACATTTGGGAAACTATATGTTTATGTAATATCTAAATAAAGTGAATGCTTCTGCTGCTTGTCTTTATGTGTCTCTGTGTTTCTCTGCGTTTCACTTTATGCCAGAGTTTGTTTTGAGTCTCACCTGAAAAACTGCAGGAAACAGTTCGAAGACGTCCGTGCGATGAGGCCCTCCTCCGAGCTGCACACAACAGTGGAGTGTCACAGTGTGTAGTATTTGTGACTCTGTCTTTGTATCAGTGTTGTGCCAGTTCACAACTTTTCTGAACTAGTTCAAGTTCAGTTCATACATGCTCAAAGTGAACAGTTCACGTTCAAAGTTCACAATTTTCATTCTGAACCAGTTCAAAGTTCAGTTCATTTTTGCGAGAGATATTCAAATAAATACTTTTTTTCACTACGAGCTAGAAATCACTATACGTGTTATATACATATAAATATAAATATATATGTATGTATATATATATATATATATATTATATATATATTATTATATCCTGTACACTGCACAGGATGTGATCCAATTTACATGGGTTTCAATGGGAACTGAGTTGTCCCATCTCTGCTCATAAGTGCAAACTGTAATGCGCTGCAGAACGTGTGTCTATACTTTGTCAAATGTAAACGGCCCTGTGTCACTGACTTGAATAGCACTAGCACACAGCGCCGCACCGCAAGTAGTACACTGAGTTGGGGTGCGTTCACCGACGGTGGAAACCGTAGGAATTTTTAGTTTTCAGCGGAAACAGTGCGGAGAATACAGGAGGGAGGAACTTTCTCTCGTTGCATTTCAAAAGAGAAAACAGATTTCACTCAGTTTTCAATGAAAAAAAAATTGTCTACCGTTCATGACACATAGTATGAACTAATTCACGTTCAAGTTCTTTATTAAAAAATGTGTTGCGTTCAGTTCAACGTTCACGAAAAAATGAGCGTGTTCAATGAACGCGTTCTTTTGAACTCGTTCACGCACAACACTGCTTTGTATTATTGTCTCTGTGTGTCTCTGTCTCTCCATCTCTGTGTCTCTGTCTCTTTGTCTCTGTGTCTGTATGTCTTTGTCTCTCTCTGGGTGTCTCTGTCTGTGTCTCATTGTAGCTTTGTCTGTCTCTCTGTGTCTCTGACCTTGTACTCCACACTGTGCCCGTGCCAGTGCACTGAGTGTATGTCCAGGTTGGTTCCCATGGCGAGCAGGTACCAGTAAACCTTATCCCCCACCTGCATACTGAGGCCCGGCACGTTCCCATACACAAAGCCATTGATGCCTGCAGCAAAAGCACACACAAGACCAGAAGAAACATCAAAAAATCATCTTTTCTCACCTAGAAAAATAAAATTACACTGATTCAAGCAACGTTTAAAGCTGGGAGAGACCAGAGAGAGAACAGAGAGAGAAAGAATAGAGAGAGAGAATAGAGAAAGGCAAGAGAGATACCACTATGACATCACACTTTTCTCATAATTTCTCAGGCGAAATAACACTCTTGAAAATCCCATGTCTCTGTCTATTTGTGAAACTCTCCTCCCTCTGGTGGTAGCTAGGGGAATTACAGGCACATATCTGTTTTTTTCAATCGCAACTAAAGTCTCTTGTGTAAAGTGTATAGTTTTTCATATTTTAGTTTCTTCCTAAACCAAACCCACCGTGCATCATGTTGCTCTCCCTAAACCCTTCTTCGTCCTTCAGGTTTGGTCTCGGATTCCTGACGTTAGTCCTGATGTTTTCGTCCAAATACCTGGATCATTAGCAGAGAAATTGTTGAAATTAAACAGATATAGAATGTAATATATAGTGATAAAAGCTGATAAAACAACCAGCTTTCGTTCTCGTCAAAAATGAGGAAGAGAGTCGCAAATTCCTCCACTTCTTTTTTCAGTCCCAAACTCCTGCAAAAACAAGGATCAAAGACTTTTTACGTGTATGCTTTTAAAGGAGTGTATTCAGCAGAATCAACTGTTTTTGAGTTTTTACTCATTGTTCCTCATCCGTCACGGACCTGGAGTTGTGTTTAGAGCCATCCAGGCTAATATCAGGAAGCACAAACATGTACTCCGCCCACTTCTGTCTGAAAGCTCCTGACATCACTGTGACATCACACTCAAAGCAAAAGTGGATAGACCAAAGAGAGACCAGAGAGAGACCATAGAGGGACAATAGAGAGACCAGAGAGAGAGACCAGAGAGAGATTAGAGAAAGAGACCTGAGAGAGAGACCAGAGAGAGATTTGAGACAGAAGAGGCAAAGCTACATGTTCATGCCAGATCATGATATTGCCTGGATGGATTTAAAAACAACTCCAGGTCTGTAACGTGGGTAAAGGCACATTTTTCAAAATGTGTTTCCTTTAAAGTCTGAATAAAGACGTTCTGACCTGGCCCAGCTGCGGCGACAGATGACCAATGGACCAATCAGGCCACTGTACAGGTCCTTAAAGAGACAGCCACATTATAAAATATTCTATGGAAAAAAACATGAATTTGATGTGATCTGGTACTTTAGTCAGGTCCACAGTCGAGTGGTAGGCCGACACGGAGCACTCCTCTTGTTCCGCTGTGGGACCAGAGTTTTTGTTCACGTACCAGTAGTAGCTGTGAGTCTCACCTGGAAAAAGCACATTAAATTAAAAGAGAGAGATCAGAGGGAGAGACCAGAGAGAGACAAGAGAGAAATTAGAGAGAAAGACCAGAGAGAGAGACAAAAGAAAGTAACCAGAGAGGGACTAAAGTCAGAGACCAGAGAGAGATCATAAAAAAGACCATAGAAAGATCAGAGAGAGACTGAGGGAAGCCAGAGAAAAAGAACAGAGAGAGACCAGAGAGGCCAGAGAGAGAAAGATCAAAGAGACACCAGAGGAAAACTAGGGCTAACTTGCGCAGTTACCTGGTCCTGTCTGGTGCACGCTTGGACTCTCGGTCTTCACTCCGTATGCGTGGATCGAATACGGGCGAGATGCCATGTTTTTGAAAACCACTTTCACTTTGTCTCCAATGTTTGCGTGAATCATGGGACCTGAGGCCACGAACTTCATCAACAACACGTCAACAAAGCCACAATATCACGCATTGTCTTTACCCATAATGCCGAGGTGCTGCATGTCCGGAGGTCTCTCCACGGCCTTGGTGAACTTGTCATTTGTGTACTGACGGTAAACCACTTTTTTGTAACGCGAGCCAATGTATCCATTGTCTTTGTCCAGGAACTCTGTGGCTGGACTGTGATGGAACAGAAAAGTAATGATCACAGAAAATCCTCATCGCATGCACTCTAGTGTTTACGCTAGCCCCGGGTTTCCAAGATGTCTGCCCCTGGTCTCTCAAAGATGTCTGCCCCTGGTCTCTCTAAGATGTCTGCCCATTCAAATTAATGGCCCGGTGCTCATTGCCTCATGCCCGTACCATGGACATCCCAAACATTAGCAGTAGTGAGGTGTTTTGACCAGTTCTGATCTCTCTCTCTCTCTCTCTCTGGTCTCTCTCTCTCTCTCTCTGGTCTCTCTCCCTTTCTCTGGTTGGTCTACTTCTGCTCCCTCTCCCTGGTCTCTCTCTGGTTTTTCCGGTCTTGTGCAGTAGGTGCACAGTGGTTCTACTTCCTTAGAGACTAGTGAGAGTACAATGGGTCGCCTCTAGTCCATGTGGAGACCTGTTTAAGCTGCAATAACCCAAGCCAGATAACATCATTCATCCATATGTTTACTTATTGTTGTTTTGGAAGAGCTGTTCCTCCCAAGTCCTGTTGGGGGCGTAGTCCCAGTCCAGCTCCACCGCTGCGATGTAGTAGGTCTTAGAATGCAGCATGGTCTCCCCTTGTCTCTGGAACATGCTGCACTTCTGCACCGTGTAGTTGGCTCGCATCCCGCCTTCGTAGTTACTGACCGTGGGAGACGACACCTCAAACTGGCCTGCAGGGGGAGCACTCTCTTTAGTTTAGGCATTCAGCTCAGTTCCAGGCATCATCTTTCACCTTTACAATTATGCAAGACAGATAGTAGCTGGACTTTATTGGGTTCATGCAAAAAAAAACTGTTTAAACCAAGCCCCGGTGATCCAAGATGGCGCCCTATTCAAATGAATGGCTTGTGCTCAGTAGCACATGGAACTTAAGACCGGGAGATTAGCTGAACTCGCCTATATTTGGGCATCGTCTGGTCCTCCCGGTTCTGCGCAGTGGAGTATCTCCCATGATGCATTACGCTATCTCCCATGATGCGTCGCGCCAAACGTGCGTGTGTGGCTTTCATGCACGCGCACAGAGGGGCTTGGCCGCACTCTGACCAATCAGAGCTGCTCATCAGAACAGCGGAAGAGCGGAGCCAGAGCGGGAAGGCAGGGAGCAGAGTTTGTGGCAGATTAGTGTGGATTTAAAGAAAACGAAGGATTTAAGAAGAAAAAAAGTTCAGAATGACAAGGGACACTAAAATCCCCAGAAAATCCGATCTTTATGAAAGCTGTAGGTTCTCTGTCAGCTGAGGTCTAGCTGTTTTAATTTACATTGAGATCTATGGGACTTTTCTAGGTAGCTCATGTGAATTTAGTCTGCAGTACCACGGGCGCCCCCTGTGCCCGTAGGTGGGACAGCTGTAAGCTAGTAATACCCTATCCAGTTATTATTATAGATCCATGGTTTAAACTTGGGTTACCACCAGTGGGGGAGGGTCCCAGCTCAAAAGTGGCCAAAATGACGTGCGCTGACCAGTAGCGGCGCCAGGTTTGCAATTTTGGGTAGGCCTGCAGATTAGTAAGTAGGCCAAATTCGCACGCAAACTACAAGGGGTAGCTGGAATTGGGGTTTCAAAGAATATGGTTCAAACGCACGCACGCACACACACGCACCCAAGCACACACATACACACAAGCTCATTTATGAAACTTGCGTAGAAAAATGTGTACATTTGGGGTGTATATTCCATTTACGCAAAATCCAACGTCGGATTTATGAACGTGTGAGATCAGCCCACATCTGAGCGTATACGCAGCTGCGGGTGTTGATAAATCGGCTGAATACGAACGTATTTATGAAAGTCACGCCTAGAATTATGCAGCAATGTTCGCGACAGGAAGTCCAAAAAGACTGTTGGAAGCCTCAAAAGGCACGTTTGTTTGTTATGTTTATGTAAAAATAAATATACGCTATATATTCAGCTGCGTTTTGCACAAATTTGCAAAAATAGTTTTGATACATTAGAAAAATCTCTCTTGAATTGTAGAAGTGAATAAATATAGATTGATTGAATGAATGAATTAATTCATTCATATTTATTATGCAGCGGTGGCTCTCATGAATGAAGCGTCTGCAGTGTCTTGGACGCGGCCTGGCTCGGGGTAGAAGTGCGCATTGAAGCACTGTACACTTCAGAGAGTGTTTGCGGTCCAGATTTCACAAAGAAACTGAAGCCAAAACTTCTGCACATTTGAGGAGTTATGTGGCGCGATATCTCACGGCACTCGCTGCTCACTCTGGACAGGGCAGTGAGACATTTGGAGTGAGCAATACCATCGGTGCGTTATTGGGGTGTGTGTCTGTGTGAGGCTAACACAAATCTAATGAAATGAAGCTCTTCGCGAAAATTCACTGTGGTAGACCCGGCTGCTGCTTGCCCAGATCTACAAGCCTGCTCATCCTCGACTCATCATACCAGCAACGCCCACATCTAATCAACCAATAACCACCAGGACAGCAAGTTAAAAGCCGGAGACGCCCACTTCCCAGCCTTCTGAAGTCCGCAAGCCTCCGCCGCCCCACCTCCTCCGTTTCTCATCGAAGCGTGCTTGCCTACTGCCTCTGCCGCCACCAGTGCCTAGGCCCCGGGGGGGGATTATGCGTGCGAGCAAGCGCAGCGCTCAACAGACTCTCTCCCGGGCCTGGGGCGCCAAACATGCTCAATCAACAAACTTCTAACTGCATTTTCCCTCTTGGGTCTCTCCAAAGTGAAATAACACATTGCTTTACCAGATGTGAGGAATAGCCGTAATTACGCAGTGCAGAGCCTGTCACAGCAATAGCGGTCACACATCCCTGTTGCGTAAAGTGTATTTACTGTATATAGAGCCTTTCACAGTTCAGGATCACAAACCGCTTCACATTTAAAAAATATATACAGATCAAAATAATACACACACAAGTCAGATTTAATAGAGGGTCCTGATCATGAGCTGTGATTTATTCGAAGTTTGCATTTTTCCATTAGACTTTTTCCGATGCGCAAATTCAACTTTTGAAACATGATGCTCAATGAAAACACAGCAAGTTTCATACATGAGGCCCTGTGTCTCACACAGGCCTGGAGTTTACCTCATCAGTGCGAGGTGAACCTGGCCTGACTGCGCTCTCCTCCTCTGGGACCTACGGGCCCGGGCCTCTGGCTCCTCTACCTCACGAAGTTCACGCTGAACTTTCTTAAAACTAAAATGACTAAAAAGGCTGCTCTGTTGTGAATGTTTTGAGAGCGTTGTCAATCTTTAAGACGAGGAATGGCTGCTTGTTCTCGGGAACGAGCTTTGCGCTGCGTGATATGATCATGCAGATTATTGGACAAAATTATTCAGCCAATAAACAGGACTATTTGAAGCAACGTGAACGCTCAGGGGGTTACATTTTCTTAAAACATTAGAACGCAACATTTAGGCAATAATGTGTGTATAAAAATAACAATATTAAAATTATGACTTTTAATAAAAAGGCTAATGACTTGAGAGGCGAAGAACAAATTTGAGTAGGCCAAGAAAAAAACTGGTAGGCACCGGCCTACCCGGGCCTATCCCTGGCGCCGCGGCTGGCGCTGACATGCTTGCAATACCACCCCGGGCCTGTGGGGGTGGACCCAGAAGTAGAATTAGCCAATGCTAACATATAGCATTAGCAGACCTCTCAAAAACGTCTTTACAGGATGGACCAAAAGTTGGCTCTTGGCCCAAAGCTCCGTTCCAGATGTCTGTCAATGCTGAGGGGGGTGGATTCTCTAGTTTACTCGCTGTGAATTTTTTAAGTCTCTCGTTCAAATGAATGGAGTTGCGCCGGCTGCCGCATGCGCAGATGCGTTTTTTCACAATTTTCTTGTGGGCGGGACCACTCGCTGGCATTTTGGATTGCTCCAGTAAAGCACATTCTTTGGCCCATTAGTTAGATCGGCAGAGATAGGCGTGACTCTGTCCGTTAATATATACAGTCTATGGTTACCACATAGGCTTTTTGTGAGGAGAGGACTGAACAAGTGCTCAGTCCAAATTACCGCGGATTGGAGCTATTTATTGATTTCATATCAATATTAAAATGTTAATCAAAGGAGACAGAGAAAGCGCTAAACCACGGATTTTTAAGGTCAAAATGGTGAGTGTGACACAAACGTGCTGTGAACTGGTTGGCCTTGGCCCCACCCGACATACCCAGCCCCGGGTCCAAGATGGCACACTATTTAAATCATTGGACTGTGCTCAGTGGCACATGTGCCACTATGGGCACTGAGAGATTATCTCGGCCATATTTGGTCATGGTCTGGTCCTCCTGGTTTTGCGCCGCGGATGAGCTCCCATGATGCATTGCACCAAACACGGGTGTGTGGCTCTCATGCACGTGCACAGAGGGGCTCGGCCGTGCTCTGACCAATCAGAGCTGCTGATCAGACCGGAGCAAAATCCAACCTTTATGAAAGCTGTAGGTTCCTTGTCAGCTGAAGTCAAGCTGTTTTAGTTTACATTGAGTTCTATGGGGAATAATTCTAGGTCTTAGTCCTGAATCTACAGCCTCAGTCCTGGATCTACAGCCTCAGTCCTGGTTGTTACCCATGCTGTCGGGCTCCATGGTGACAGTGTGGGAGACGTGGGGAAAGACGCTGATGCTGTCTTTTCGGTTCTGTCGGAACAAGAAGCGGTTCCCCTCGAAGTGCAGGCTGTTGATGTCGCTCTCTGAGCCCAAACCCGACAGATGCCACGACACCTTGTCCCCTTTGCACATGCTCAGACCCGGAACGTTCCGGAACACAAAGCCGTTTATGGCTGCACACAGAACAGAGAGAGACAATGATGTAAGAGGAAGATTAGAAAAACAACGTTTACTTGTGTCACGTCTAAATAAGTTTCATAATACATAATTCACTTTATACATTAAAGTTTTGCGTCTGACATAACCAATCAATCCATTCATCATTTATTTGTATAGCACAATTCGTGTACAAGGCAATTCAATGTGCTTCACTAGAGAAATTTTAAAACACGGATCAAAATGCATTAAAAAGTCAATAAAATATGACTTCATATTAAAATAGAGCAGCATAACAGTATTTAGAGTATGGTGGGTTTAAAAAGGGCAATAAAAGTAATAAGTAGTTTAAAATAGAATTAGTCAGTTGTATGCACCGCTAAAAAGATATGTTTTCAGCCTAGTTTTGAACATGGTAATTGTAAAGGCTTATCTCACAACCTATAGAACCTAAATATCCTAGCTGCATAAATCTGAAACGCTGCCTCCCCATGTTTCGTCCTGACTGGGCACCGGCAGGAGGCCAGTCCCAGTGCTTCTCAGAGTGCGAACAGGTTCATATGGCACTAGCATGTCTCGGATGTACCCCGTGCAAGGCCATGGAGAGACTAGAACACAAGCAGAGCTGCTTTGAAGTCTATTCTCTGAGCCACAGGAAGTCAGTGCAAAGACCTGAGGACTGGACTAATGTGATCATACTTCCTGGTTTTGGTCAGGACCCAGGCTGCAGCGTTTCAAATGTGCTGCAGCTGTTTTATTGTTCCTTTGGAGAGACCAGTGAGCAGGCCTTTACAGTAGTCAAGCCTACTGGAGACAAATTCGTGTATAAGGATCTCCAAGTCTGCTTTAGACACTAGATTTTTTTATTCTCGCAGTTGCTGTCACCGATTTGATGTGACGATTAAAATTCAGGTCTGAGTCCCACACCTAGATTTCTGACTTGATTTTTAGGTTTCAAGTGGACGGATTAAAGATGATTTGACACAATGTCTTTTGCTTTTGGGGACCAAAAACAATCACTTCATTTTTATCTGTATTTAGCTGTAGAAAATTGTTTTGCATCCATGCACTAATTTCTTGGATGCAGTGACATAGTGAGTCCACTGGACTATTTTCAGCGGCTGTTAGTGACACATAGATCTGAGTGTCATCTGCATAGTTGTGGAATGATACAGTACATTGTGGCTTTTGATCAACTGGCCCAATGGAAGCAAGTAGAAATTAAACAGGAGTGGTCCCAGGATTGATCCCTGTTGCACTCCACATGTCAAGGACATGTAGTCTGAGACAGAGTCTCCAATCTCAACATAATATTTCTTATCCTCCAGGTATGACTTAAACCATTTTAGGACAGTGCCAGAATATGTATATGTTATTATTAATTTATTTTCACATCACCACAGATTTCAAATGCAGTACTTTCTGTACTCTCAGGCTGCACCTGTATATAAACCACACCAGCAACATTTTAAAAGTAAGTACCATAAAATGTGCATGGCATTGGTTGTGCATATCTTTGTGACACTAAATGAACACTAAATGAACGCAGGAATCCCTGTAAATCTTGGGATCCGATGGGAATGGGATCCAATAATAAGCTTTAACCCTGGTTTGATTCTCTGATCTGTTGTTGGTGAATTCACAACTTCGTAAAGTTCTCTGAGACGACAGCTGCTATGATTAGAGCGAGACACAAATAAATTGAATTGAATTGGTTGGGGAAATAAGTTGCAAAAGTTAAAGATGTGCACCAATGCAATCAGACAACTATATGTATAGTTTGAGATTATGTTGTTTTTCCAAAATACTATCGCAATTAATTTATTTTTGAGCAAAGTCGGAGCAGATTCCTCCCTCAATGTGGGCCTACTAGACGTTCTTCACTTTTTATACTAATTCCTTGACGGTGTAGGAGGGTCCAAGCCAGGACAGTTTCTGATTTTGCATCTCCTGTGTTTGAACTGTTTGATTCTCTGCTCTGTTGTTGGGGACGACTGTTGTTGTGATTTAGGGCAATACACAAATACATTGAATTGAAAGTCCGGTCATGTTGCTGGACTCTACAGTAGGCTCACTCCTCACAGTGCATCATGTTGCTTTCCTTGAAGTCCTCGTTGTCCTTCCTCACCGCCGCTGGACTCGTGGTGAAAGTCTTGATGTTGTCGTCCAGGTACCAGCTCAGGTTCTCGTCAAAGATCGAAGCCAAAAGGTGGAACTCTTTATCATAGTTTTTCTACAGAGACAAACAAACAGAATACATATTTATTTAGGAAGAGGATCACAGTTCCTGGATTGTTAAGGATTTTCTACATGAATAAGACATTTTTTCACCGGTCGTAACTTTAATGTGCTTCAATATTTTACATCTGCACAGAGCAAATGTGTTTCCTCTTACATCTGGGTCTCATCCACCACCTTCACATTACAAAGACCTTCCAGACATTCCAGGACCCAAAGACAACGGACTATTCTGAACTCAACTATACAGACTCTTACAGACCCATCACCTGCTCTACATGCTGCCTCTCTCTTCTGTCGCCCCCTACTTCACAAATAATAATTTGTCTTTATTCAAATAATTATTCAAAACGCTTCAGCTTGAGACCTGACCAGGAAGTACCATCACATTAGTCCTGGTCCCAGATCTCTGTCCTGAAGTCCTCTCACATTAGTCCTGGTCTCAGATCTCTGTCCTGAAGTCCTCTCACATTAGTCCTGGTCTCAGGTCTCTGCTTCCTGTGGCTCAGAGAATAGACCTTAAAGCAGATCTGTTTGTAGCAAGTCTCTCCATGGCCTTGCACCATAATACATCTGTGACATGTCAGTGCCATAAGAGCCAACTCTGAGGAGCACAGGGACTGGCCTCCTGCAGGGACTCTGAGGGGCACAAGGACTGTACCTTTGTTCTGAAAGTCAGAAAACTGAGTGTGATCATACTGTTGTAGGACTATAGACAGGAGTTTTTATTCTGCTTTAACTTGTTTGCACCGAGAGCCAAAGCAATTTCCTAGTTTTTGACTTCCTGTTACTCACATGACAATAAAAAGGATTCTGATTCTGATTCTGATTGAGACAGACGGTCTGTTTTTGATGAGGAACACTGTTATAACACGGTTAAAAACTCAACACTAGCCTGGATGGATCTAAGCACACATGTACCTGTGCTCCCTTCTTGAGTGTGTCGGTCTTGCAGATGAGCAGAGGGCCCACCAGTCCGGAGCTGGTGTCTCTGACTGGATCCACCGCAGAGTAGTACAGGTACGTTAGGCAGTCGGCTTCTCCCTCCACTGGACCGGCTCCGATCGGGACGGTCCACTCATACGTGTGCACTGTCCCAGGACGAACCATGGCCGCGGCCAGAGGGGTCACTACTCCTGCAGCGAAGAGTAAAATATATCTGAGAGTTCAATCTTTAGGTTAAGAGCAGCTTTAGATGTATGGACACAGAATTACAGTATATACACAGGGTCCACACAAGTTTCACCTTCAAATGTATGTTACCGTCTACGCCAAAGCTTTGATCTTGCCATTTCAGGGCATTTTTGATAACTACTTTGACATATTTGTTGGATCATAATGTCATCTAATATTAGTCCTAGTCTCAGGTCTCGGTCCTGGCGTCCTGTGGCTCTCTGTGACATCTTAGCTTCGGTCAAACTTGGGTCAAGAATACTAGAAGTGAGATATTTTGACCATTCAGTATTCATTGCTCAGCTTTCTTTCACTCACGCGGTAGTTTCTTCAGCTCCCGTAGTCTCTTCTCAGTGTGAGTCTCTGCCAAAAAGCAAAGGATAATTCTGACAATTCGGTTTAGAAAAGCTATAAATGGAGGTATGCAACTTTTAACTTGTCCTTTTGAAAAGCATCTTTGAGTGTCCAAAATGCACTATATGATTATTATTGATTATAGGTATACATATTGTAAACAATACTCTCTCTGGTCTCTCTCTGATCTCTCTCTCTGGTCTCTCTCTTTGACCTCTCTCTGGCCTTCCTCTCTGATCTTTCTCTCTCTGATCGCTCTCTGGTCTCTTTCTTTGGTCTCTCTCTCTGGCCTCCCTCTCTGGTCTCTCTCTCTCTTGTCTCTCTCTGACTTCTCTCTGGTCTCCTTCTCTGGTCCCTCTCTCTGGTCTCTCTCTGAACTCCCTCTGGCCTCCCTCTCTGGTCTCTCTCTCTGGTCTCTCTCTGGTCTTTCTCTCTGGTCTCTCTCTGGTCTCTCTCTCTGGTCTCTCTCTCTGGTCTCTCTCTGGTCTCTCTCTCTGGTCTCTCTCTGGTCTCTTTCTCTGGTCCCTCTCTCTGGTCTCTCTCTGGCCTCCCTCTGGCCTCCCTCTCTGGTCTCTCTCTGGTCTCTCTCTCTGGTCTCTCTCTGGTCTCTCTCTGGTCTCTCCCTGGTCTCTCTCTGGCCTTTTTCTCTGGCCTACCTGTCTGGTCTTTCTCTGACCTCCCTCTCTGGTCTCTCTCTGGCCTCTCTCTCTGGTCTCTCTCTCTGGCCTCTCTCTCTGACCTCCCTCTCTGGTCTCTTTCTGGTCTTTCTCTAGTCTCTCTGGTCTCTCTCTGGTCTCTATCTTGTCTGTATCTTGTCTCTCGTGGCTTAATTGAGTTAGATGGATTCACGTAGCTCCGTTGTTGTACTTTAGAATGTACGTCCCCCAGTTTAACCCCTCCTTGACCTGACTCTGTGTTTTACCCTCGATCTCGTTGTGGTAGAGCGTTCCGTCCTGCTCCACCTCGTACTGTACGCCGTGAGGCTGGATGCTGAACGGACGACTGGCTTTGTTCTTAAACACCACTCTGATGGTGTCTCGCTCCTGGGCTCGGATCACAGGGCCTGGACGGAGGCACAGGTTATAACAATAATAAAACTACAGAGAAAGTTTAAAATGACAGGGGACAAGGATGAGGAAGTTGAATATTACTTTTAGAGTGTTTAGGCAAAGCAAGGCAAGTTTATTTATATAGCACAATTCATACACAAGGCAATTCAAAGTGCTGAACAAAACAAGAAAGCATTAAAATCATAAATAATCACAGAACATTAAAAAGAAAGATAAAAATATAAAATCCCTCAGTTGTATGCACAGCCTCCCCCCTGGACTGCCACCTTAACGTGGTGGGGGAGTTTGAGTACTCGGATGATCCTGGGAGCTATGCTGTCTATGGCTTCATGCCCCTGGTAGGGTCTCCCATGGCAGACAGGTCTCAGGTGACGAGTCAGACGAAGAGCAGTCAGAAGCCAACATGGACAGCACGAAAAGAAGAACCGTGACGTCGCCCGGCATGGCGCAAGCCGGGGCCCCACCCTGGAGCCAGGCCTGGGGTCGGGGCTCGAATGCGAGCGCCTGGTGGCCGGGCCTTAGCCCACGGGGCCCGGCCGGGCTCAGCCCGAAAGGACACGACGTGGGCAGTCCCTCCTGTGGGCCCACCACCCGTCCCTCTTGGGACGTGGAACGTCACCTCACTGGGGGGGAAGGAGCCCGAGCTTGTGGGGGAGGTCGAGAGGTACCGACTAGAGATAGTCGGCCTCACCTCCACACACAGCTTGGGCTCTGGAACCCAACTCCTTGAGAGGGGTTGGACGCTCCACTTTTCTGGTGTTCCTCGCGGGGAGAGGCGGCGAGCTGGGGTGGCCATACTCATTGCCCCCCATCTCAGCCGCCACGTGTTGGAGTTCTCCCCGGTGAATGAGAGGGTCGCGTCCCTCCGCCTTCGGGTGGGGGACAAGTCTCTCACTGTTGTGACGGCCTACGGGCCTAACAGCAGTGCAGAGTACTCGGCCTTCTTGGAGTCCTTGGGAGGGGTACTGGACGGTGCACCGCCCGGGGACTCCGTCATTCTCCTGGGGGACTTTAACGCCCATGTGGGAAGCGCCAGTGACACTTGGAGAGGGGTGATCGGGAAGAATGGCCCCCCTGATCTGAACCCGAGTGGTGTTCAGTTGTTGGACTTCTGTGCTAGTCACGGTTTGTCCATCACGAACACCATGTTCGAGTACAAGGGTGTCCACCAGTGCACGTGGCACCAGGACACCCTAGGCCGGAGGTCGATGATTGACTTTGTTGTCGTATCATCTGACCTTCGGCCGCGTTTTTCGGACACTCGGGTAAAGAGAGGGGCGGAGCTGTCAACCGATCACCACCTGGTCGTGAGTTGGATCCGCTGGCAGGGGAAGAAGCCGGTCAGACCTGGCAGACCCAAGCGTGTAGTGAGGTCTGCTGGGAACGTCTCGCTGAGACCCCTGTCAGACGGACTTTCAACTCACACCTCCGGGAGAGCTTCTCCCAGGTCCCGGCGGAGGAGGGGGATATTGAGTCTGAGTGGACCATGTTCTCTTCCTCTATCGCCGATGCGGCGGCTCGTAGCTGTGGTCGCAAGGTCTCTGGTGCTGGTCCCGGCGGCAACCCCCGAACCCGGTGGTGGACACCGGCAGTAAGGGATGCCGTCAGGCTGAAGAAGGAGTCCTATCGAGCCATGATGGTTCGGGGGACTCCTGAGGCAGCTGTCCAGTACCGGCAGGCCAAGCGTGCCGCGGCCCGGGCTGTTGCAGAGGCAAAAACCCGGGACTGGGAGGAATTCGGAGAGTCCATGGAGCATGACTATCGGTCGGCCTCGAAGAGATTCTGGCAAACTGTCCGGCGCCTCAGGAGGGGGAAGCAGTTCTTTGCCAACACCGTGTACGGTGCGGGGGGTGAGCTGCTGACCTCGACCGGGGATATTGTCGGACGGTGGAAGGAATACTTTGAGGTTCTCCTCAATCCCCCCGTCACGTCCTCCGCTCCGGAGGCAGAGGCTGAGGATGTTGGGGCGGATACTTCTGTCACCCTGGCAGAGGTCACCAAGGTGGTTGGCAGCCTCCTTGGTGGCAAGGCGCCGGGAGTGGATGAGATCCGTCCTGACTATCTAAAGTCTCTGGATGTTGTAGGACTGTCTTGGCTGACACGTCTCTGCAACATCGCGTGGCGATCGGGGGCGGTGCCAATGGAGTGGCAGACCGGGGTGGTGGTCCCTCTCTACAAGAAGGGGGACCGGAGGGTGTGTTCCAATTATCGTGGGATCACACTCCTCAGCCTCCCTGGTAAGGTTTACTCCAAGGTACTGGAGAGGAGGTTACGGCCGATGGTCGAATCTCGGATTCAGGAGGAGCAGTGTGGTTTTCGTCCCGGCCGTGGAACACTGGACCAGCTCTACACTCTCCATCGGATACTCGAGGGTTCATGGGAGTTCGCCCAACCTGTCCACATGTGCTTTGTGGATTTGGAGAAGGCGTTCGACCGTGTTTCCCGGGGTGTCCTTTGGGGGGTCCTCCGTGAGTACGGGGTCCGGGGTCCTCTGCTGAGGGCCGTCCGGTCCCTGTATGACCGGAGCCAGAGCTGTGTTCGCATTGCCGGCAGTAAGTCAGACCTGTTCCCGGTGCATGTTGGCCTCCGCCAGGGCTGCCCTTTGTCACCGGTTCTGTTCACTGTATTCATGGACAGAATTTCTAGGCGCAGCCAAGGGTCGGAGGGGGTCCGGTTCGGGGACCACAGGATTTCATCTCTGCTGTTTGCAGACGATGTTGTCCTGTTGGCTCCAACGAACCAGGACCTACAACATGCACTGGGACGGTTTGCAGCCGAGTGTGAAGCGGCTGGGATGAGAATCAGCACCTCCAAATCTGAGGCCATGGTGCTCGACCGGAAAAAGGTGCCTTGCCCTCTCCGGGTGGGAGGAGAGGCCCTTCCTCAAGTGGAGGAGTTCAAGTATCTCGGGGTCTTGTTCACGAGTGAGGGAAGGATGGAGCGTGAGATTGACAGGCGGATCGGTGCAGCGTGCGCAGTGATGCGGTCGCTGTATCGGACCGTTGTGTTAAAGAGGGAGCTGAGCCGAAAGGCAAAGCTCTCAATTTACCGGTCAATCTTCGTCCCCTCCCTCACCTATGGTCATGAGCTTTGGGTATTGACCGAAAGAACAAGATCGCGGATACAAGCGGTCGAAATGAGCTTCCTCCGCAGAGTGGCTGGGCGCTCCCTTAGAGATAGGGTGAGGAGCTCAGTCACACGGGAGGAGCTCGGAGTAGAACCGCTGCTACTCCACGTCGAGAGGAACCAGTTGAGGTGGCTCGGGCATCTGTTCCGGATGCCTCCTGGACGCCTCCCTGGGGAGGTGTTCCGGGCATGTCCCACCGGGAGGAGGCCCCGGGGAAGACCCAGGACACGCTGGAGGGACTATGTCTCTCAGCTGGCCTGGGAACGCCTTGGAGTCCCCCCGGACGAGCTGGAGGAGGTGTGTGTGGATAGGGAAGTCTGGGCGTCTCTGCTTAGACTGCTGCCCCCGCGACCCGGCAACGGATGAAGCGGAAGAAAATGGATGGATGGATGGATGTATGCACAGCTAAACAGAACTGTCTTTAACCTGGTTTTAAACATTGTCATTGAGGAGGCCTGTCTCACATCTTCAGGAAGACTGTTCCAGATTTTAGTAGCATGAATCTGAAAAGCAGCCTCCCCATGTTTAGTTCTGACTCTGGGCACTAACAAGAGTCCAGTCCCTGTGCTCCTCAGAGTCCGGGCTGGTTCATATGGGACTAACATGTCACTAATATATTTTGGTGCGAGGCCATGGAGAGATTTGTACACAAGCAGAGCTGTTTTAAAGTCTATTCTCTGAGCCACAGGAAGCCAGTGCAGAGACCTGAGAACTGGACTAATGTGGTCGTACTTCCTGGTTCTAGTCAGGACTCGAGCTGCTGCATTTTTAATGTACTGCAGCTGTTTTACAGCCTGTTTGGACAGACCTGTGAGCAGGCCATTGCAGTAGTCTAACCTACTGGAGACAAATGCATGGATAAGAATCTCCAGGTCTGCTTTAGACACTATGTTTTTGATCCTGGCAATGTTTTTTAGATGGTAAAAAGCTGCTGATGTTACTGATTTGATGTGGCTATTAAAATTTCAGTCTGAGTCCAGTATTACCCCTAGATTTCTGACCTTGTTTGAAGGTTTTAGGGAGAGAGACTGTAGGTGACAGATGATTCAGATTCAGATTCATTTATTTGCCATTTGCAGTAAAACCACATTGGAAAAACTGTGCAAGACTACCCCGGTGTGCACCAGACAGAGAAGACGACACACACCAGAGCTCTTGCCACGGCGCCATCTTTACGGCGCCATGCGACAAACAGTAGAATAAACAGCAGAGAGCAATAACATACAGTTTCACAGACAGTTGGATAGACACATTGTGCTTTGTATAAAGCACGGATTTTTTCTCGGGATGAGCACCTCCGACAGCCGGCCAATGTGGCTGTCAGAGGGGGGCGGGGTCAGGGAGGGGGGTGAGTCGGAAACACAGTGAGGAGTGGAGGGGAGGGAGGGAGCAAGATGGATAGGTAGAGGGAGGCGGGGGTAGGGGATCCAAGCTGGAGACTGAATAGTGTGAGTTGTTGTAGATGGGACTTTTGTTATTATGGCCTTGGCCGAGGAATGTGAGATAAGAGTGGAGAGAAGGCACAGGAGGAGAAAACACATCGCCTCAGGGGGACAATATTAATGCAATGTAGCAGTTAAAAGCAGGCAGATATTCTATTAAATCCAATTAAACCGAATTGCGGCGCCCTCAGACCCCGTACACAGGGGCAAATCCAAGCCGGGTCAGAGAGTTCAAGCCTGGCAAGCCTGGTTGTTTCTGGGGACCAAAGACAATCATTTCAGTTTTGTCTGCGTTTAGCTGAAGGAAGTTGTTTTGCATCCACTCACTGATCTGTTGGATACAGTGAAGGAGTGAGTCCACTGGTCCATGTTCTCCTGAAGACATAGATCTGAGTGTCGTTCGTTTCTGCGTATTAACTGACCT